TGTTTGATGATGATATTCTAGAGAATAGGAGAGAAAAATGATTTATTTGGGCAGTTTCTACATGTGCATTGAGGATTGAAATAAGTCCTAGTCAAGTAGAAGGTGACTAGAATGAATAAAGGATAAATAAAAATGTTTTATTCTAATATAAATATGTTTTAATATATATGTGAATGAATAATTTTTTTCAGATGTCAAAAAGAAAGATGAAGAAACAAGAGAAGTCCAAGTGGCAAACCCACCAAATGAAGAAAAATGAAACCTACCAAAAGTGCTGAATTTACCCGTGTTGAAAGACTTCATGGTTCTGTTTGCCAGAGATGTTTGATCTGGTAGTAACTATGATAACATTGCACTCTAAAGCAACATGTGTGTATTCGAATGTTTTGTTGTGATGTTATTTAGTTGGATTGCAACGTTGATGTGCAATGTAAGCTATTAAAAGGCATACTACTCCCAAAGTGCACCCACGGAAAAGATAGAGTATGATTACTGAAATAATATCATTATCTGTAAACTCAACAAAATCTACTGCTCTATTTCAAATTTATTTAACCAGATGTATTTTTAATTCCATTTGTATGGTAATGGGTAAACCATTTCTTGGGAAATAAAAACAAACACCATTAATTTAACACTTTATATAACTTGTGATAAAATGTTTTATTTTGGGTTGTTGAGAAGGAATGCAAGAGTCAAGAATTACATGGATAGAATATATGTGGATTTGTGTTTTTAACCAAAAATGTACCAGATTTTTTCCCTCCAAATCCTAAGAAAATTTGGAAAAGTTATGAACATAGGCTTTATTGTCTGATATCTTTTGCTTCTAGTCTGTCTATATACTGTGATTTTTTTTCATGTGGACCCTTAAAATGTAACATTTGTGACAAGCTGTTTATATAAAACATGCCTATTAAATGAATTTCACTATCTTCCTTAATTTTGGCATATATGTGTGTGTTTTACTGTAATTATGAGTGATACAAAATACTTTATACTGTCTTTTCTTAATTTTTGAATATTTACTTACATATGACTTTTTCCTAAAATGACTTTCTCAGGAATGCAGACCTTAATTTTTATGTCATTCCTAGTGTAACTAATATTGCACAGAACACTGAAGTATTTAGTAAGGGTTGTAAATAGAAATGGCAAAATGCTTCCTTTAAAAATATATATTTAAGTATATAAAAGGAACAAAACCAAAGCATTAGTAAATGATTATTTGTTTGATATTTTAGGAAAAAATAGAATTCTAAATTTTAAAAATGAGTGAAATTATATTCATTTTCAGATCTACATAGTTGTATTTTGGATTCCTGGTGTGGCACTGTAGGATAAAGCACAGGGTCTCTATGAGTCTGAATCAACTCAGCAGCGCTTGAAAACAACAACTTAGTTCTATTTTATCTGATGGTTGATTTAAGCCATGGTTATACACAGTAATCAAAAAATTCTTCTTCTTTTAAAAGAACTTTATCACTTACACAACTCCCCTTCATCTTATATCCTAAAGGATTGTTTTGTTGTTAAGTGCCGTTGAGTTGGTTCCAACCCATAGCAACCCGGTATAGCGCCAGGTGGAAAATGGCAACACATTGTAAAGGAGGAAGTTGGCAGCCTTGTCAGTATCAACCACTTCCTTTCTTACACTGATGTACAACAAAGGAGTGGGTTTCAAAGAATCTGATTGCTTTACTTTTCCAAATATGCAATTTTAAATAAGCTAACATAATCTCTTATTAACATTCAATGTCATATCACATAAGTTCTGGTGTGGCACTGAAGGATAATGCATTGGATTGCAAAGTCAGTTTGAACTGCAAGGCCGGCAGTTCAAGCTCACTATCTGCTCTTCGGAAACCCTATGCAGGGTTGTTATGAGCGGAACCCACTAGATGGCACTTAACAACAACTGCAACAATCATATCATTGCTAAAACCCACTAGCCATTGAGTGGCTTCTTACTCACAACCACTCTATAGGACAGACTAAAAATGCTTCATAGTTTCTGAGACAGTAAGTCTCATCTTCTAATGCAGAGTGGCTGATGAGTTTGAACCACCAGTCTTTCAGTTAGCTGCTCAATGCTTACTATGCCACCATGGCTCCTTAGAATACATTATGCTGTTAAGTGCTGTCGAGTATGTTCCAATCCATAGCTACCCTGTATAGGGTTTCCAAGGAGCAGCTGCTGAGTTTGAACTGCTGACCTTGTCAAACCGACCTTGCAGTCCAGCACATTAATCCACAGCACCACACCAGGACTCCTAAATACTTTATAATCATTAATATTGGATTTCTGAACGTTATTTAATTACATGAGCTCATATATTCAGCAGTAAGAGATGTTAGAATAGATCAATGATTTTCAGCAGAGGGTAATTTTGTCTTCTCATTCATTGGCGGACATTTGGCAACATCTTGAGTCATTTTGGGCTGTCACCACTGGGGGATAGGGAAATGAGTGAGGGAAGGTGCTACCAGCAATAGTGGCAGAGCACTGGTATGCTGTTAAACAGCAGAATACCCTTCAATACAGTACGATGCAGCCCCCACACCAAAGAATTATCCAGTTCCAAATATTGATAGAGCTGAGGCTGGCAAAACCTGGAGTTACATTAGGCTATTAAAGCATGTAAATTTTGAATTGAGATTACCTCAATTTGAATTCCATCTCTGCTACTCATTAGCATTTTGATCTTGGACAATTTACAATCATGCCTTTAATCCTCAGTATTATCCTTGATGAATTATAACTAATAGTACATGCTTTATTGGGTGACTAGAAGCACCCAAGAATTCTGGTGTGACACTGTAGGGTAAGCATTTTCTTTTAAGGTTTTATTGTGAATGGAGTGATAGTTTACATGTGAGAACATTAGCTTTACACTCATCCTATCGTATTTACTTTCATTGCAATGGTTACAATATCCTCCATGCATTATCATTCAACAGTATTTGCTTCTGTTCCCTTTGTTGTTGTTTTTTTTTTTAATGTACACCAAAACACTCAGAAATATACAATTATTCAAACACCCAAAGGGCATACCCTGAAAGCCTGCCCCCCTGGCTGCCAGCACACACCCTTTCCCTCCATGAGTCTAGAGTCCCCAGCTGCTCCCATCTCTCCACATCATCACCTCTGCCTCCATCTCTGGTGTTATTGCTTCTCTGAATAGGATTGTAGGATAAGCATTTGAGTACTAACCATAAAGTCAGTGATTCAAATCCACCAACCACTTCTTAGAAACCCTATACAGGGTTGTTATGAGTGAGAACCGACTTGGTGGCATTTAACAACAACAATAAGAAGCACCCAAGACACAGTTGTTAGACCAGAACAAGAGACTGCTGCGTGATTTAAAATCGGGCAAGGTGTGTACCAGGGTTTTATCCTTTTACCATACCTAGTCTATCTGTATGAGGAGCAAATAATCCAGAAATTGTATTACATGAAGAAGAACCTGGAATCAGAATTGGAGGAAGACATAACAATCTGTGAATGTAAATAATGTAAATGACACAACCTTGCTTGTTGGAAGAAGACTTAAAATACTGATAAAGATCCAAGACTGCAGCTTTCAGTATGCATTGCACCTTAATGTAAAGAAAACAAAAATCTTCACCATTGGAGCAATAAATAACCTCATGACAAACGGAGAAACATTGACGTTGATAAAGACTTCATTTTGCTTGGAACCTCAATCAATTTTATGGAAGCAGCTGTCAATAAATCAAAAGACATATTTGTGGTATCTTGAATTTACTTGATATTGCTTTTCTATCCATGTTGTTGTTGTTAAGTGCTGTTGAGTTGGTTCTGACACAAACTGACCCTGTTTAGGGTTTCCAAGGAGCAGCTGGTGAGTTATAACTGCTGACCTTGTGGCTCAAACTGACCTTGAGGTCCAGTTCTTATCTTACAGTGCCACACTAAGAATATTTTTGTATCCATAGTCTCTTTAATTCCCACTAAGTGATTGAGTTGTTGTTGTTAGGTGCCATCAAATCAGTACTGACTCATACCGACTTATGCACAGCAGAACGAAGCACTGCCCGATCCTGGTCCAATCTCACTACTGTTGCCACGCTTGAGTCCATCAATGCTGCCACTTGGCCAATCCGTCTCGTTGGGGGTCTTCCTCTTTTTCTCTGACCCTCCACCTTACCAAACATGTTATCCTTCTTCAGTGACTTGTCTCTCCTGACAATATGTCTGAGGTATGGGAGATAAAGTTTGGCCATCTTGGCCTCCAAGAAGCACTCTGGCGGCACTTCTTCCAACACAGATCTGTTGGTTCGATGGGCAGCCCATGGCACTTTCAATATTCTCCTCCAACACCATAACTCAAAAGCATCAATTCTACTATGGTCTTCCTTATTCACTGTCCAGCTTTTGCATGCATATGAGGTTATTGAAAACACCATGGCTTGGGTCAGGCACACCTTAGTCCTCAAACTGACATCTTTCTTTGCTCTTGCACACTTTAAAAAGGTCTTGTGCAGCAGATTTGCCTAATGCAATACGTCATTTGATTTCTTGACTGCTTCCATAAGTGTTGATAGCTGATCCAAGAAGAATGAAGTCCTTGACAACTTCAATCTTTTCTCCATTGATAAGAATGTTGTTTATTGGTCCAGTGGTGAGGATTTTTGTTTTCTTGACATTGAGATGTAATCCATACCAAAGGCTGTGTTCTTTGATCTTCATCAGTAAATGTTTTAAGTCCTCTTCACTTTCAGTAAGCAAGGGTGTATCATCTGCATATCGCAGGTTGTTAATGAGTCTTCTTCCAATCCTGATGCCACGTTTTTCTTCATATAACCCAGCTTCTCGTATTATTTGCTCAGCATACAGGTTGAATAAGTATGGTGAAAGAATACAACCTTGTCGCACACTTGTGTAGAGTTTCCAAGAAGTCATTGAGTGGGACCATACAAATAAGTGTACAAGACTCTAAGCCTGGGATTGGTTAGTTTTACCATCCTGATAGGTTTAGAAGGAGCCATCTCTGAAGCAGGAGTGGATGATCCCAGGGCCATCAAGAAGGAAGAGCATGAGTGGAGGTAAGATCCCTATCTAGAAGGAGTTGATGACAGAGTTGGTGGCATGGAGAGACAGAGCAGCTTTGGTCTGTAAGCCCATGGACTGAATAAAGCTGAGTGCCTACAGGCAGAAAACCAACTTGCAGAATGTGCCCTTTGGGCACTCACAGACTGGCTAAAAGAGCTTGGTAAGTTTTGATGGAGGAGGGCTGAGGCCAAGAGGCCACATGGCTGAGAAGCTGAAGACAAAAGTGAGGCATGTCTGCAGTATGCAGAGAAGAGGAATTCCTGAGCAGAGAACTGCATCCTCACTTAGATTAGATTCTGAATTGTTACCTGTTCACTTCCCTAGTAAGCCCATAATTGTGAGTATTGTTGTGGCCATTGGAAGGGATTGTCGAGCCCAGATGTGAAGCGGAGTTCTGTGGGAAGGATGGTTGATGCCAGAATGTGGGTAAAGAAGGTTAGCAGGTAGAGGCAGGAATTGTCTTTGGGCTGATAGTTTGATTCCCCCCTCACCCCAACAGAAATCAGAATACATGGTCCTCACGTGGTTTTTGCAATATTGCATTAGGCAAATCTGCTGCACAAGACCTTTTAAGAGTATTCCAGAGCACAAATATCACTTTGAGGACTAACGTACACTGACCAAAGCCAAGGTATGTGCCTTATATGCATGTGAAAATTGGACAGTGAATAAAGACCTTAGAAGAATTCAACTCCATTTGAATTATGATGTTGGTGAAGAATACTAAAAGTACCATGGACTGCCAGAAGAACAAGCAAGTCTGTCTTCAAAGAAGCACAGTCAGAATGCTCCTTCCAGGCAAGGATGGTGAAACTTTGTCTCTCGTTTTTTGAACATGTTTTCAGGATAGATCAGTCCCTGGAGAAACACATCATGCTTGGTAAAGTGCAGGTTTAGCACAAAAGAGGAAGCCTCCCCCACCCCCACCACCCCCAGCCAAATAGATAGACACAGTGGCCGCAACAATAGGCTCCAACATAACAACCATTGTGAGGATGGTGCCGGGCAGTGCACTGATTTGTTCTGCTGTGCACAGGTTGCTATGAGTTTTAACCAACTGTATGGCACCTGTCAACAACAAAGAAGCAGTAATTGAGATAGTATATGCAAAATATTTGACATAATGGCTCACAAAGAAAAGTTTTAAAATAAATTCTAGCCATCATCATCGTCTTTTTCATTCTAGACATTCTTGCACCATTCTACTCTTTGGTAAAAGTAGAAGAGAGTATGGTGGAAATTGACAATATAGCAATACATGAAAACAAATTAATTCCAATTTAGTCATACTAACAAACATCTAACAGGTGATACATACTGCACTTTCACAACAAGTCAACTCACTAGTATTTTTATAACAGTTACTGCAACAAAATTTAGTCACTATTTAATAGAGGAACTTGTTCCCTAAAAATATTGCATAAAAAACTAACACTGATCTAGAGCCATGGAGTGAAGTGATAGTGTTTTCTCATTTGTTGTTGTTGTGACGTGCCGGCAAGTCAGTTCTGACCCATAGCGACCCTGTATAGGGTTTGGGAGACCAGAAAGGAGGCCATGTCTCTCCTCATTTTTACTAGTAATGACATATGTGCTGAATTATGTATATCCTAAATAAATTTTTCATCACAGTACACACACAAAATGTCCTGTTATATACATAATTTTAAATGTTTTGGATTACACATAATTCAAATTATGCAGAATATTGACTAAGAATATTAACCAACAAAAGGAGTTTTTGTTGTCCCTAAGAAGGAATCCAGAGGAGAATGAGAGGTCAGTAGTAGTTGAAAGACTGAATTGACTCCACTTCCAACGTTAAAAAAAATCAAACAATATGGGGGAACCTATGGTATTTTGTCATAATAACTAGACACTTTCAAATAAGCTACCTAGTTAGGACTCATTAAAAAAAAAAAGAATCTCCGTGCCCATTTTTAATTGTCTTTGTGTAAGTCAAGAGCTGTGACAGCTTCATCAATACTGCCAGACAACCAGAACCAAAGGGAACAATGAAACTCTGAGGCCACTGTCTGGAAACTTGACTCTACCAATGGAGGACAAAGGAGGACCAAATGAAACCTTTCCCCGTCACATGCCCAGAGATACTTAAAGGACCTCAGCTGGAAAGTTTGAGCATTCACGAGTGATCGTAGATTCATCCTGAGAGTAGAGACATCCTACTTGCAAACGAAAGTGATGAATTGAATTTTGTCACCCCACAAATATGTTGTAAATCCGAGCTTCTGTACTCGTGGAACTAATCCCACTTGAGACTATGGTTTCTGTCATGTTTTTGTTGTTAAGTGCCATCAAGTAGGTTCCAATTCAGAGTCACCCTCTATAGGGTTGCCAAGGAGCAGCTGGTGGGTTTGAGCCACCAATCTTTTGGTTAGCAATCCAGTACTTATCCTACAAGGCCACACCTCATTTGTTATGTTAATGAGGTCATAATCATTATGTTTTAAATGTTTTAAACCTAACCGCTTTTGAGACTTAAAAAGAACAGATTAGACACTGAATTGAGAAAGCACAAGTAGGATAGGGTTATACCATGTGGAAGCAGCCAAGGACCCAAGGAAAGCCTGGGGACAGAAGCTCAGAGCCAATAGAGAAGAGCGCCTTCTCATAGAACCAGTGTTCTCAATTTAGACTTCTAGCCTACTGAACTGAGAAAAAAAAAATCTGTTATTTTAATCCATTTGTGGTATTTCTGCTACACCGGCACTAAGAAACTAAGGTGTGCTGACTTCGATTTTACAGTTTGGGCAGTTAAAGTAGCTTGGACAGATGATGGTAGAGAACAGAGCAAAAGGAAGAGAGAGAAAGACACACAGAGAGTAAACAAATTGCATATGCTACTGAAGATTACTGAGCTGTTGTCCAGAGTGGAATCTGAACCAGTGAATTCAAATTGTAACTCTTTAACACTTGCTCTCATGAGCTCTCTGCTCTGCAATCTACTCAGTGTGTAAAATGTGGATTATGTGAAGATTAAATAAATGCATACTAGTAAACTTCTGAGTATGGCCAAAGCTATTACTACTTATTAACTGCCAGAGCATAGACAATGGAGAGACTTTAATTAAGGTGAATATCTAGATCTATTGACTCTTTTCACATGTTATTTGTTAAAGGAGATTTTCTTCCTATTCCTTAGATCTCTTTGTTTCTTCATTAACAGCACCTCCTTAGGTAAAAGGTCAGTTTCCCCTTTGTGCACAGAACCTCCCCACATCATCTCCAGCTGGATTTGTTGGAAAAGATTTTACCAGGTCTGGCTTGGTGTGACTATAGAGACCCAAAATGGTTGAAAACAATACAAGTTTTACTGTCCTTGGAAGACCAAGGGCTAATTATCCAGAATGGATACCTTGTTTTTCCCTTAGAGCTGTTGGTGATAACTCTCAGCACATTAGAAATCACTTGCTATTTAAAAACATAGACATGGGCTTAAATAAAGGGCTGGAGCAGGTATTGTTTCTTATTAAAATCAAGAACAGTTTTCTTATTGAGCATACATTAATATAAATTATTGCAGTCATACTGTTAATTGAATACTTTGAATACTGTTGATTGCTATAGTAGATAATTTTGTAACTTCGTAACATCAACAATCCAAAATTGGTTTGAATGTTTCCAATTTTACAGACTAAAAATATCTCCTAGGTTCAGGGAATGTCTGTGGGGATTCAGTCATACAGAGCTTTAGGATTAAGCTCTCAGAGCCAGGGTATGCACGCCATCTCTTTAATCAAAAAGCCCCTCTGCTCCAGACTCTTTCATCCACAAGCCTTATTAAATGTATCTTATTATTAAATATAACAACAACTTATTGCTACGTGTCGGCGAGTTGGTTCCTACTCAAGTGACCCTGTTTGCAGGGTTGTTTTTAACCACAAGGTCTGTGGTTCAAATTCACCAGTCCCTTCTTGGAAACCCTATGTATGGTTGCTATGAGTCAGAACTAACTCGATGGCACAAAACAACAATAATGATGTCAGGAGTGTGGTGGCTTTGTAGGGTAAATTCTGGACTATGAACCACAGGGTCGACAGTGTGAGCCCACCAGCCTCTCCCAGGTAGAAAGATAAGGGTTTCTGCTCTTTTAAAAAGATGTACAGCCTCAGAAACCCTATACAGGGTTGGTATGAGTTGGAAACGACAGCAACAACACTGATGTTGGAGGGGCATCTAATTGGTAAGAACCTCAAACTCATTGCCATAAGGTTTTCGAGACTGTAGCAGTTAGTTTTCTCCCAAGATCAGTTGATAAATTTGAACTGCCGACTTCACAGTTAGCAGTCCAGTGCTTAGGAACTTCAAGGAGTCATTCTTTTCAGAGAAACAACATTACAAATATTTAAGTCTTGTTTACACTAACCTGTACCATTGGCTTTGGAAACTTTATAAGGGCTCATAGGGGGCTTTAGACATAGAAAATCTAATGTTTCTGTGTTTTATAATATATATTTTTTTAACTTAAATCCGATTTCCATTAGAGGAGGGGATTTTATTTTTAAATCTTTTAATCTTTAAATCTTTATTGCTATTATAAAATTATGGATAACAACAACAACAAAAAGTTATGAGTCAAGAAATTTGGATTTGGTTCTAGGATTTTGGCCTAAATTGACCCTATAACCAAATAATACACACAAAAAAACAGGGTCTTCCAGTCAACTGTGACACCCAATATTTCATAGTTGAACTGCCCCCATAAGGTTCCCAAGGCTGCAAACCTTTACAGAAGTGTTGTTCTTAAGTGCCACCGAGTGGCTTTTGACTCATAGAGACCCTTTATAAGGTTTCCGAGGAGTGACTGGTGAGATTGAACTGCTGACCTTGCAGTTCAAACTGACTTTGTGGTTGAGTGCTTATCCTACAGCTTCACACCAGGAACCCTTTTATGGAAGTGCTGGGCTATTAAGTGCTGTCACATCATTTCTGGTCCATAGTGACCCTGTATAAGGTTGCCAAGGAAAAGCTGGTAGGTTTGAACCACCGACCTAGTGGTTAGCAGTCCAGTGCTGATTCTACAGCACCACACTAGAACGCCTTCTCTTGGAGAAGTTGGTGGGTTCAAAACAGACCTTTTAAAGGGTGTATAATTTTTTATCCTCTCCTGTGTTCAGTTTTATAACCACCACTTGTCTTAAATTACTTTTGTAAAAATCACTTAAAGTCAACAGTAGGTGGTGCTCTCACCACACTGCTGACTCTTGATACAAAAGTCAAATTCACTATTTACAGTTTCACCAATTGGTTCCAACTCCTAGTGACACTGTACAGGATTTATGAGGCGCAGAGGCTTGGTTTGAACCACTGATCTTGTGTTCTCCATCTAGTGTTTATCCTATTTGCCACACCAAGAGTCCCTTTTACAAATTCTAGTGTATATGCTTAAGAAACCCTGATGGTGTACTGAATTATGCTTTGGGGTGCTAACCTCAAGGTCAATAGTTTGAATCCCCAAGCTGCTCAGTGGGAGAAAGGTGAGGGTTTTTTCACTTCTGAAAAGATTTACAGGCTCAGAAACTCTATACAGACTTGCTGTAAGTTATACACAACCACTGCCATCTGTATATGTGCTGCTCAAGGGTGTTGTAAAAGCAAAATAATGAAGATCCCTGCTGCATTTAAAACATCAGTTTGCCCAAAGTCTGTTTAGAATGAAGATTTTAATAGAAAGTAGACTGAAAATTTTGTGAGGAATCTGGTATGGCGCTGGCCTGCAAGGATAAAGTGCTGGGCCATAAGGTCAGTTTGAACCACAAAGTCGGTGGTTCAAATTCACCAACCACTCCTTGGAAATCCTATGCAGGGTCTCTGTGACTTGATGATACTTAACAACAATAGCAAATGTTCATATGTACCAGAAGAGGTACTCTGATACAGCTTTAAAACGCATTTAGGACTACAAAGCCTACAATTATTCCTCCCTGAATAAAGAGTTCCTTTTCTATGTAACAGTCAAATGGATTTTTTTTTTTTTTCAAAAAAAGATAGTTGTACACAGATGTTTTATTCATTTAAATCAAATTACAGACACTTCTACAATCTTTGATTCAAAATATCCCTTTGAAGTTTGTTAAGCTAAAAGTGCTGTTTTCAATTGTGAATTTTAAGACTTTGAACAGTCCCCTAGTAATTTGGGGCCCTGATATGTATGTGAATGTGTGGCTTTAATTCTTGATTTAATTCAAAGTATCTTTTATCTCTTAACAGTTTCGCCTGCACTTAGGAGAAAGAGGTGTCTCATGAAAACAGAGTGGAGGCGCTAACTAAGTCATCCTCCCTGGTCTTCCAAGGTCAGGAAGGGAAATAGGAAAACCTTTCCCACAAATTCAGCTGGAGGCTGTATGGGAAAATTGTGTGCAAAAAGCAGACACTGGCCAACTAGCCTTGGCAAGGTCTATATTGAGGTAAGGGGTTAGAGAGCCTAAGCACGGTTTCTGGCTATCTCTGGAGTATTTTCACTGGACAAGGTGTTCCATATCTAGTGAAGGACCCAAATGAGTGGGGAGTGAAGGAATTGATAATAGTAACAACTGTGAAGGAATCTTGGTGGCACAAGGCTTTCAGCTGCTAATGGAGAGCAATGGTGTTGGTACCCAGTGGGTTCACTAGGGGTGAGCAGAGGGAGAGAAGGGAGGTTGTGGACTACACCCAGACACTGTCAGTGAGGTAACAGCAAAATGACTCTTGGGGTCATGGTGGCAGCAGAGGGCAGGCAGGTGAGCAGGGTGACTGGCCGCCAAGGCAGCGATGTCACCAGAGTTGGTGTCACCCAGTCCTTAGTGTGTAACTCCTCATTAACCCCTACCACAGCCCCTGCCACAGCTGTGCTGTGCTTGGATCCAACGTTGCCCACCATTGGATGGATAGGAGGATTACAACTTAAGGTCAGTGGGAAAGGGGAGAAACTGCAGGAAGCTGGGGGCTGAGAAGGGGGAGTAGCAGCCTTGCATGGCAGTCCTAGCTTTGCATGGGGGCTGAGTAGGGTGAGGGGGTGGGAAGGTGGCATGTAAGTGTTCTACTCAGCAGAGGGGGTTCGCCAGCTGCCCACACGGGTGTGGGTGTTTGACACCATCAGAGCACCGGGTGATACCATCCTAATCATGCTGCTGTTGGAACCCACCCAGTGGCTCCATGGGAGAAAGACCTCAAGATCTGTTCTCATAAAGGTTGTTGGTGTTGGTATTGTTACATGCTGTCGAGTCAGTTCTGACTTATAGTGACCCTGTATAGGGTTACCAAGGAGTATCTGGTGGATTTGAACTGCTGACCTGTAGGTTAATAGTCAAGTGTTTATCTTACAGTGCCACACTAGACATCCCCATCAAGGTAGTCTAGAAATTTCTACTCTGTTACTTGTGGTAGCTGTGAGTGAAAATATGGGCACCTAACAACAATGGCAATATCACTGATGAGGGTCTTAATTTAAGAACCCATCCCAGTTTTTTATCTGCATATATTTTATGTTCCCAACAGTCCTGCCCATGAAAAACCTGGTCATAAGAAGTCCTTGTCCAAGGTCCCTTCAGTAAATTCCAGAACCGAGTATCCAAGCTTGACTCCGGAAACTCTGTTTTTAACCACTGTTCTTTACTGTCTCCCAAAATGAGAGCAAATGCTTCATGATTACTGTCTGTGAGGCACTGTTTGAAGTTCTGTACCCATATTGTTTTAATTCTTACAACAACCCCATAATGTCAATCTTGTTATTATCCCCATTTCACAGCTAAGGAAATAGAGGTCCAAGTCAGTTTTAAACATGAACATGAAGGTTATTATAGTTGAGGGTGTGCTTAAAGACAAGAATCCCTTTTTTTTCTTTTTGGTAGCAAAATGCCACTTCACTCTTTATTGGACACCAGCACCAGTTCCTTTCTCTCCAGGCACAGGGAACGTGGGCAGGGGCTCTGTCACTTGGCTTCCTTGGCCAGGGTGAAGAGGAAGCCTGACCATTCTGGCCTTATCACCCCCTCCTAGGATCAACATCTTCCTCAGTACCGGGTGATATTTGCTTCTTTTTAAAAGAAAGAGATAGCAAGTGCAGAATATAACTCTATCTACCCCCCCCCCCCTCAACCCTAAGTTTTTTCTTTCTCTGGGGTTTTACTTCCATTGATGCTGCCCCCTCCAAGCTGCCCCCAAGCTGAACTACTTCTCTGTAACTGATCTCTGATCTAAGAATGGGAATGAACTTCTCTTGGTGCCCCTTCTTGCAGCTAGGATTTTAAAAAAAAGTAGTGTCACTCAATATAGAAAAGGAACAAGAAAGATTGACTTCCTCTGCCCTGGGTTCAACAGTCTGAGAAAATGCTGCTTTTGCTCCAAGGCTCTGAGGCAATTTCACAGCCCCACACTGCTCACCGTGATGACATCTTCCCACCAGTCATCCTTACCCATCACAGCCAAGATACCCTTCTGAGTCTCCAGCCCACCTTAGGATTCTTTCCCAGTTGTTTGTCAGGACAAAGGTATAATTAACCAGAGAAACAATCTCATTCTTCTGGTGAGAAACCCTGTTTCCCTACAGACTGGTGGAATTTAGAGAGTGGTTTGGAAGCTAAGGCAATGAGAAGGAGGAGGTTGCTGCATTAGAGAGCATTGTTAGTACAGTCTAGTTGGTATAGAGTCAGAACAACCCTATATAGGGTTTCCAAGGAGCAACTAACAGGGTTGAACTGCTGACCTAGTGGTTACCAGTCTAGTGCTTGTCCAACAATGCCACAATAGGACTACTTGTGGTTAGCAGCCCAATGCTTGTCCTACAGCACCATAACATTACAGAGTACAGCTTCAGGGAGTTAATTTATTAGCTACTTTGCCCAATAGCAGGAAATGGCTGCATGGTTCTGTCAAGAATAACAGAAAATCTAATAGAGAAGAAAGTTGTCCTTTTCCATGTATGGGTTCTCCATGCACACACTGTTTTATTTCTCAAATTTTCTGTTTTCTTATAGGTAAAATGAAGTTAGTTAACAAACAGTTCTCTAAATCCTGGTGTGGCATTGTAGGATCAACACTGGATTGATGAACAAAGTGAGCAGTTCAAACCTACAAGGCGCTGTGGGTTAATGCACTGGACTGCACAAGGTCAGTGGTTCAAACTAACCAGCTGCACCTCGGAAGCGCTACACAGGATTGCTATGGGTCATAACCGACTCAACGGCACTTAACAACAATAACAAATCCTGTTGTGGCATTTAGGATCAGCACTGGACTGATCAACAAGGTCAACGGTTCAAAGCCACCAGCTGCTCCTCTGAAACCCTATACAGGGGTGCTAGTAGTCAGAACTGACTTGGCAGCAATGAACAACACATATCCTGCCTAATTCTGATCATCTATGATTTTGGACTTATTTTAAGAGATTATTTTTTGAGAGAAAAAGACTGTTAGCAAAAGTGCATATGTAGTTCTAACTTACAAACAATTTCAGACATTTTGCTTTAATAGTGTTGATTTTTTGCCTCTATGCTATTTATTTCAATTTTCCAGTTGAGAGGAGACAGTCTAGACATTGTGTGTATTCTTCATAACTGCACACATTTGCAATAGTTAGATAAGGAGTAATAATATAATTTCTCAGTATTAATTAAAGAAATTATAAGAACCCCTAAAACCAATAATGCTTTATAAAATTTTCATTTAACTTCTCAATTGAATTCAACATGTGTTTATTGAATGCCTTCCCAAAGCTGGTCTCACTTGCTTCTCACGGCTTTCAGTACAAAACCAGGCAGCTTCATATGGACACAGGTCTGACTGACATGTGTCACACTTGGTAATGAAATGAGCCATCCTGTCTGAACTACCAGTAACCATAGAACTTTCCCTTCTCTTAAGACTTTTCCTCCTTAAAAAAGGAATAATCTTCCCATTTCCTCACCCCATCTGGTCTTTATCCTAAATGGCTCTGGAGTTTACCATATTTGAAGTCTTTTGGTCCCTGGGTGGCACATACGGTTTACACTCAGGGATCCAACTGAAAGTAGTTGGTTTAAACTCAAGCAGCAGCACAGAGAAAGAGAGAGCTGTCAATTTGCTTCTATAAAGATTACTGCTAAGAACACCATGTTGTTGGTGGTGTTAAGTGGCATCGAGTCGATTCCGACCCATAGCGAACCTGTATAGGGTTTCCAAGAGCAGCTGGTGAGCTTGAACCGCCGACCTTGCAGTTCAAATGTCTTTGCAGTCTAATGCATTAACTTTTAGCACCACACCAGGACTCCAAGAATGCCGTGTGGAATAGTAACACATGGGGTTGGTATGAGTCGGAATCGACTTCACAGCAGCAGGTTTGTTGTGTTTTGTGGCAACTGTAATTTTTTTTTTAAAAAAAGACAATGGATCAACTGGAGATTCTTCTTTCAGTGACCTTTTAGAGGACTTTCTGCCTTTGTAATTACAAGCATGGAAACACAGAGTGATAGAGGCAAGGCAGGGTGAGCAGAGCGGCCAGGTACAATAATCAGGAGTGGTGTCTTAGAGGAAGGACTAACTGGTGTTCAAGGGAATGGAGAGATGAGCAGGGACCTAAAGAGGGCTCCAGATGTGAGGAACAGCTCCGAGGCATCTCACGATGCTTTACTGCTTCCATTTCAATTTATTTCTACAGTTTATACTATTTTTAGAGAAATTGTTAACATTGCATTGTTAAAATAAACCATCTAAACAAAGTAGTTTCCTCTTGTATTTTGGTGGTTGAATTCTCAGTTAAGTATGAATGTGCAAGAGTATATATATGAATGTGTGTGTGTGTGTGTGTGTGTGTGTATGAGAGACAGAATTTACTTGGAAGAGTGTGGTGGGGAAACAGGAGTAAGGAAGGTTGTTTTCCACAATGATTCACACCATCTATTTTCCCTAAGCTAAAATGCACACTAAGAGTGTGTAAATTGTTGCTGTTGTTTGGAAACATACTTTGGTTATGTTATACAGTTTTTCTTCATATAATCATAGAGAATTTCTAAAAAGAGAAACTTCCAAAGTCACATCCTAGCATGTAGGATAGAATAAATCCTAGATTGCTAATATTTATGTTTATAAACAAAGAATTGGAAAGGTGTAAAAGAAAAGTCATCTTTGGCGTTTAGCAGATAGTTTACATTTCCTTCTTGTAACAAATTTTGTCATTTACTTTTCCTTACGTTGATATTGCCTTGCTACTTCAATCTACCAGAAGATGAATCAATTAATATAAATAAGTAAGTAAAGCTTTAGAAATTCATAGCAGTAACAAAACAAAGGTA